AAATAGTATTGGTAATTATTTAGAATAGGGTTTTGGGGCGGGTCTTGACCTCAGCAGTGGCAACCAGCCGTAGAAGGGTCGTGCGACGCAAAATGGCTTTGGTTTAGGACAACACCGAGTCTCAGCAGCTGCTTAAGGACAGGAGCCCCGTCGATCCACAGGTACATTGATGCTGAACTTTTCTCAAAACGAAGCAACACCTACAGTTGCAATAGACGAGGGAGGTGAAACAGCTCACACTTTTTTGCGGCAGGGCTCTACAGCTATGCCTGCCCCTCCAACCCTGAGCTCGTGAAAGGACACCCCCTAGCATTGAGCCACCGTTATGAGTCTTTCAAGGCTATGCAGCAGCAGCTCCAGGTGCAACCCCAGCTAAGAACTGAAAGCAGGGAAAAGACGAGCTGCTGTGACGTCTTCAATCTCGAAGACGTCGTTGTCCGCCTGCTCAATTTCTTCATCCAGCTCCTGCAAAAGTTCTGGATTTTCGGGTTGTACTCGGGTGTCATAGGATCTCAACACTACGATAAAGCTCTGCGACTGCATGCCACTACTTGTACCTCTAGTTACTCCTGCTGTTCGGTGTTCAACTCCCTAGCAAAGGAAACACATTGGAGGAGAGTATCCGAATCAGGCTGACGTCTAGGGCTACCCCGCAACGAGGTACCAAAAACGGCGGCATGGAGCCTCTGGGAACCCCGAACGCCTAAACGGCGATACCGGCAGAGCCTGAAACCACTGTTTCTTTGGCACACACGCACACAGACAGTCAATCGGAGAAGCCGAAACCGTCCACTTTGAGTCATAAAGCCTTGTATACGGAATGCTTCCATGGACGTTCTTACAGCTTGTGCCCTGGAAGGCTACAAACCCTGCACCCGAAATCCAAACCCAGAGCGTAAGCCCTAAAGCTGGTCTTAACAGCCCGAAGGGTTCTTGCCCTTTAAGGTTTCCATGGGGGATCAGTATAGAACATGTACGTTATACTTTCGAATTGAAAGGGTGAGAGAGAGAGAGAGACATACATATACATATATATATATATATACATATATATACAAACAGTATAGTATAGTATGGGTACATTGGCCCTTGGCGAAGCATATACCTGCAATTCTGACATCGGGCTGAAGGAGGCACTGGTGAGCAATTGAGCTGTAGTCGAATCAGGCTTATGCACAGGTAAGATTCGAGATCTCTACGGCTTTAATGCTTCAGGACTTTAGGAACGTTAGGAGAGTGAAGCTGCAGTAAACCCTAAACCCTATAAACCCTATAAACCCTAAAACCCTAAAACCCTAAAACCCCCTAAACCCTAAACCCCTAAACCCTAAACCCTAAACCCTATAAACACCTAAACCCTAAACCAGCATGCTAACCTTGAGGTAGTCCACATTGTCCGCCTGGCGAGGCAGTACCACCAGACGCGAAACTTCACACAATCGGACCCAACTCGCCGGCTTCCGGTGCACGCGAAGAGAATACTTACTTGTCGAGACAACATGGAGTTCTGAGTTCTATGTACCAACATGCAATGTAGCGCATGTAGGAATTCTCGAGGCCCTCTAGGCCACATGTTTCTGGTTCGTCGCTGCACATGCAATCGGGACCGACTTGCAGGGCTTCACTGTTAGTTTACACTGCAGGCTTCCCGTACTTCCATGAAAACGGCATCCAGCCTCCTCATCCTGTGCCTCCTTCTCCTTGCTTTCTGCTTCTTCCTTCTTGTCGCCCTCCTTGTCTGCTTCTCCAGCAGCTGTCTCTTCCTCTTTCTTTTCGCCTTCCTGATCCACTTGCATGTCCTGTGCCTCGTCCTTCTTCTCCTCCTCTTTGCTAGCCTCTGCAGTTGTCGCATCTGGCTTTTCTTCCTTCGTCTCGCCCTCCTGCTCTGGCGGCTTTTCTGTTGACCTTAAAGCGAGTCGCGCTCAACCCGGCAACCCAAACCGAGAACGCTGACACAAACCTTATCAGCCGCCACACCATTAGCTCGACCCTTCAGCGGAAAGAGCCCAGCGACTGCGCCGTGGTCTTGGTGTCAACACGAACTTTCATTTCTCTGGGCTTCTCGTTTAATTACAACCTCAAACCTGCTAACCCGTAAGGACATAGACGGCCTTGATCGTCTATGTTGCACTCATTAACCTTAACTCAAACCTTTCAAAGGCCAGAAAGAGAACTCTGCCCCGGAAGAGGCGAGCAGCGTCTTGTTGGCTTCCGCCTCCTTGGCTGCCTGCAAGGAATCGACTTCGCAGGGTCGAAGAATTAGGCTGCATTTAAGAGCCTCAACAACGAGCCGAGTTTTCCCGATGGCAGACTGTGCCTGGCCCTAGAACGGTTCTAGTCACGTAAAGTGAGGCCTTTGCAGATTATCGGCATCAGTCCCAGCTTTAGGTCGCAGGGTTCAGGGTTTCTCGGAGTGCCGTTCAACATCGTCCACACTCGTTCTGTTCTAACTCAGAAGCTCATGTTATTCTACGACACTGGCTTCGATCATGCTGCGAACCACCAGAAATAGGAGTTCGGGGCTGTTGGCTTCCGTCTGTATACGGTGACGAGGTTGAGAAATGGCTGAAACACCTTAGATGGTTTGAGGCTCAGCTCTTTGTCCCAGCTGGTCGTCATGTAAAGCACACCTACTGAAGGTCAAGGTCATGCTTTGGCCTGCTGCAAATGCCAGCGTGGCGTCCGAACTCTTCGACTCAAAGGCCCTAGTCCGCAACATCTTGGAAACGACATCCGCCCTTAAGCCTGAAACTCTAAAGCTCTGGACTCTCGGCCCAAGAACTAGGCGTAACACGGCTTCCCCAAGGCCCAACGAATCGTGCCTGCAACCTCTTGATGAGGTCGGCCTGGAGAATTTTTTTTTTTTCGTAGGCAATTACATCGCTCTAGCGAAAATGAACGTTGACTGAAGACCTCATCTGCAACCTAGCTGCCATCGGCGTGGAAGGCCGCTCAAACACTGCTGAAGCTTAAGCGAACCCCCACAACCCTTGCACTTCCACCCTACGGCAGCCCTGTACATGTCGTGGGAAGTGTGAACGCCGAAAAGCCTGAGCTCGTGGCCTGTGCGAAAACACGGTAAGGCCGCAACTTGGAGCATCTTACTGCGAGGCCAACGACTAGAAACCCGAATACCACACGCCTGGCAAAGTCGACCACCGAACGCTTCGCTACCCCAAGGGTGATCCGGGTGGGTGACCTGCAGGTGCTCCAAGATTTGCGACTTCGTTGGGGGCTTTGGGCCCTGAGATTTGCCTTTGGCCTGAGCACTGCGAAGCCAAAATTGAGCGCGCTCGACTAAGTGGCTTTGCAAGACCCAAGTTCTACGGTCCAGCCAGTCGTTATACTCCCTAGCAAGCCTATGCTCAAGCTTGGCCTCAATAGCTCGACTGGCCGCCTCAGCCACTTCATCAGCCAGCCTGTTGGCCTCAAAGGCCCACTGAGGCAAGCTGCTGTCCGTTGGGGCCTCTTGATGAGACCGTATCCAGTAAAGCTGGATGCGCTTGTGCTGGGCTGCTTGGCGGACTCCTAGCCACAAGTCCGGGTTTGCAAAACGGCGGATGGCTTTGCCATGCAGGTGTCGTAGTTTGCGGAACCTGCGGACTGAAAGAAGGCTGTCAGTAACACATTGCACCTCTCCCTGGACGTGCCGAAACAACATGAGCAAAGCCCAACCCTCAGCTCTAGGGACCGTCTGGAGTTTACCAGGGAGGGGCCCCGACATCTTGCCTAGGGCTTTGCCAGTGGCAGGGCAGACAGCGATGACAGCCCAAGTGCAGATCCTAATGCGCTTGTCTCTAGAACTGCTGCCGCCACTACCATCGGTGGCAAAAACGACTTCAGCGGGGTTGGCAACGAGAAAACTGCTCTCGCAAAAGATGCCTTCTCTACTGACATAAGACATGTCCGCCTCTTCCTGGGGGCTCACAGCAACTTGCTGCCTCTCGGTCCAGTGCTTGGGTGGCAACCCACGCAGCCAATAGATCTCGAAAAGGCAGTCACTAGTAAAAACTTGCCACTCAAGCGGGGAAGGAGAGACTGCAGCCAACATGGCAGGGCATTCCCAGAACAGATGCTTTAAAGTCGGCTTTGCACCGCAGCGGCTGCACTTGTCGAGCATTCCGTTCTGACAGCTGGGGAGACTGCCCTCAAGGACTGCATACAAGGCAGCCAGTTTGGCAGGCGCTTTTCGTTGAAGGTATCGGATATGCTTTCTAGCAATAGTGAAATCAAGCCCTTGCGCTGCACCTTGGCCGCCTTGATGCCTGCTAGCACTGGCCCAAAAATCAAGCTCCTGATGCTCAACGACAGTTTGCACAAGCCTAACAACCATGAGAGGGTCGTCAAGCTCAATGGGATGGGATATCTCATCCTTCACCCACTCGGTGAGAGTCGGAGCCGTCCATCCGGCATCTTTGAGCCGACACATAAGGCCTGACATGGGACCTCTTGCGTAATGCCAGTGCGCTGGTGAGTTCCAAATGTGGTGCTGTGTGATGCACCACGACTTGGCGAGGAGCTGCTGAGTCTCAGCAGTCTGTGCTCTGATCAGCGTGAACCAGGCTTCAAGCTGTTGTGCCATGACAAGATGTCTCGGATCATGCGCCACATCCATGCTAAGTCGCAGTGCAGTGGTCAAGCATCCTAGCTTTTGTCTGAAGCGAGCTGCACCAGCGACTTTGGTGGCAAAATGGTGCAAGGCTGTTTTGCTAATGCCCTGTGTTTGATGCCCCCAAAGCGCAGTGGGGTAGACGTTGCTGCGCACCAGAGCCGCTCTCCTGCCACGCGGGAGGTCCTTCAATCTGTGGGCGCGCTGCAGGCCCTTTGTCAGACGGCCTTTTTGGACAGTGGTTCGGCGTCGCCTTCCTAGCGTGACATCCACTCCAAGGTCCTTCATGGCTTCCCTGACTGGGGGAAATTTCTGAGTTCGAAACTCTGGCTCCTTTAGAACTCTGTCGAAAGCACGTTTGACCTCCTTGCTTGAAACTATAAAGCCTGTCTTCCCCTCACTGATGAGCATGTTCTTGTTGCTGAGCTCGCTGTGGAGGTGGGAGTAAAGCCTCAATGAGCGTCGAGCCAACACTAGCTCCCTGCCCCCATGAAGGTCAAATGAGATGTCGTCAACGAAAGTGGAGGCTTGGGCTGGAGCTTGCTCCTTCAACACTTTTTCGACTGGACGCCAAAGGTAAAGCTTGCACAGCGAGACCGACAGCGGACATCCAGCCAAGATGCTGTGTTTGGGCTCTATGGCTTCGCTTGCCATGGACTCGGCAATCAAAATGCGCTGAGCACTGTGCACTGGCATGGCCATGACCATGAGCAGCGCTGGGTAGTTAAGGTCCAGAGCGTCTTGCATGAGCAGCATACGGTCTATTCGGTCGTAGGCATTCTGTAGGTCCACTAAAAGACTCACCTGGTGCACGCCCGTGTGGCATAAGATCTCGGCTAAGAGCTGGCGGCGATGTGAGGAGGTGAAAGTGTCACTTCCCTTCACCGCTTTGTCCCAAGGGCTTTTGGGGTTTGCCTCCTCAAGCCATCTCGTCAGGAGGTGCTGCCGCATGCTCATGTACAGCCGGTAGATGACACTAGTCAAACTGATTGGCCGCTCCGCTTTGATCGTCTTAGCTAGCAATGCCACGGCCACGTGGCAAATGACCTCCGGCCATTGCTGCTGCTTCTCGGCTTCCTGCAAGAAAAAGACCAAACCTGAGAGGGCCTCGTCAGGGAGGCGGGCCAAGTCTGCGAAACTCCAGCCGTCTGGGCCGGGAGCTTTGCGTCCAACACTTTTAAGCGTCTCCTTGATCTGAGTGGTGGAGATCGGCTTGAGAGAAAGCTGCTGGCCCTCAGCCGCCGTAGCGAAGCAACGAAGCTTGGCCTGCTGTTCCAACCTTCCTTCTGGAGATTGCTCGCCCCAGATGCCTACCCAAAACTCACGGCGGCACTGTGCTCGCTCCTCAAAGGGTCTGCCAGTGAAGGGCCGCAAATGCGCTTGAGCCTGCTTCTTCAGGTGGTTGTGCATCTGCTTGACTGAAGACGTGCTCACCTGGAAATGCTGTTTCAACGCCTCAGTTCTATGGCGATAGCTCTGCTGGAGCTGCGCCTTGATGCCTCGCTGCACCACCTGCTGCAAGCCCTCGTTGCTGACTGCCAAAATCTTGAGCCCGTACTGGAAGGCCGCCAAGCTGATTCTTTCCTCTGGTAGCTGTAGCCAGAACTGGGTACAGGTTGCCGCCTTCAAAGCCGCGTGCCGGAAGAGGGTTTGCTGCAAGTCCGGCTGGTTTCCGAGCCTCAAAGCGTCGTCAACCAACCGCCTAAGCGTGGACCAGAAATTGAGCCCACTGCTGTCCCACACCGCAGCAGGCGGTTCCGGCTGGACCCTGGGCTTTTGCTGCAACGCTATGCGCCTGCCTCTGCCTGAAATTCCCACATCCGTGAGCACTGACTGCAGGTAGGCTTCTGCTTGAGCGCTCCAGCTGGCAAACTTAACCATCAGGGCCGACGGCGCTTCTTGGAGCCCAGGCAGCTCAATGGCTGCTTCCCCGTCAGCTACTGCAAAGTGTGGCCAAGGAAACCTCGGACCCGGAAGAACGGGGATCTTGTCCGGGCTGTCGAGGGTAAGAACAGGTCTGACTGCCAGATCTCCTCGCAATTTGACGCTGAGTCCGAAGTGGGGCTTGAAGGGGACTTCGGTAAGTACCTCTAAACACAGGCCGCCTTCAAGCTCAAAGCTGCAAACAGCGTAGTCCAGCACTGCTCCTGTTGTGATGGTGGGCTGCAGCGGGTATAGCAACTTGCCTTTGACCATTTGCAGATATCCGCTCGCCGCAACTTCATCTGGAGCGGCATTGAAATCTGCAAGAAGTAACCAAGGTCCCGAAAGCGTGTGTATGAAAGCCGCTAGGCTGTTCCGCAAATCTCTGCTGCTGCTGTGGCCGAAACCCTGAACAGGAAAGTAAGCAACAAGCACTGTCAGGGTGAACTTGTGGAAACGGATCATGGCGTAGGTCCATCTGGGACTGCCCGCTTCCACTGGCCAAAACGGGCCCAAATGCTTACGGACTGCGATTGCTACACCTGCCTGGGTTCCGCCCGTCTCTGGGTTTGCTCTGGCTGCCTCTGCTCTGCACTGCCTGCCATGCTGCTGGAAGGAATCGCTGAGTGTCTGCACCTTGTCGGGGCCCTGATGGTGCTCAACCAACAGGACGATGTCGTGTGGCTGCTGTAAAACAAAACTGGCGGCTTTCACCGACCAACTGGTGATGTTGCCGAAGAAAAGCGACACTTGACGGTCTGTGTCGGTGTGCTGCTTGGAAAAACGTTGCTGGGATGGTTGCAGGTCAAGTGGAAAACGGGGGCCTGCTACCTCCTCAGCTGGAAAACGGTCTGGAGCGCTGTCCTCAGAAGTGGGCGGCGGCGGACACGTTGCTGTCTGGTGACTCTGCGCGTACCACCCAAGCACCTCAGTCCATGAAGCGCTCCGTTGGTCGTCACCCGCACCATGCGTCGCCCTCGTACTGGTCCGGGTCGTAGACCACTTCCACCTTCTCGCTGTCCTTTTTCCTCCGCTTGTGGGCCAACTCCGAGGACACTGTCTGAGAGACCAACGCTCGGAGGCCGTGCAACTGGTCCTCTGTGAGGCTGGGCTCCAAGGACTCCAGGAAGGACTGGAGCTTGTCCACGGGCTCTGCCTGCGCCATGCCCTCATCGAGCACAAAGGGCTCAAGCTGCGGAGCCACAACTTGGCGGCCGTACTGTTGGACTGCCTCGTCCATGGACTGCTGTGCCTCTTCGAGTTCCCGCTGCAACGTTTGCAGTTGCTTTTCATGCGATTGCAAAGTGGCACGTGCCGCTTGGATCTTGCCCTCCAAGTGCACCTTCTTTTGTCCCAACACCCTGAGCGCACCTGCCTTGGCTTTGATGGTCTTTGCAAGCTGTTGTGCAGGTTCCTCTGTGCCAGGGGCTTTGGTTCCTTTGGTTTGGGAGTCTGCACTGAGGAGGTCTTTGAGTGGTGCCATCGCCTCCTGGAGTTCAGGGAGCTGGTCACCTGCAACGCGCTCCACCTGCTGAATGACATTGGCGACGAGTGCCTGCCATTCCGCACCGGCATCAGGTTCATTGCGGTGTGGGGCCATGTCCATGCTGACCCGTCGGCTTGATCCCCACTGCGATGGCAATGGTGGCCACCAATCGGCAAAGTAGTCGAATCGCTGCTGGCGGCCCGATGGTGGCAGTGTGTTTCGCGACTGCCGCTGCCCGTGGCCCACGAAAGGCTTACCACAGTAGCAATGGGGCTTACTGTGGAGCCTGTCAGCCCACAGCCATGCGCCGCAATCACGGCACACCACGTAAGAACGCCGTTGACCGACCATCGCATCAAGAGGACTTCTATCTTCTCGCTCACCGCTCGAACCGTAATGCTTC